ACTAAAAAAATTAGCTAGTCAAGAAAAAGCATAAAATTTTCAAAGCAGGAAGTTTATAATCATTTCCCTCTTGCATGCAATTATATGTGTTCCTTAATCATAACGGCTATGAAAATTTCCGAAATTAAATTAAATTGATAATCGTTTTTATTATGTATTTTGAGGAAATTTTTTCATATCTTTCTCTTTTATTTTAATTAATTTTAATTGAGATGTATTGTAGATTAATATCTCTCTAGAAATAATTATGATGATCGACAAAATCATATGACAATACATGTTGAGCAGTTGAACTGTTACTAAATGGGACTCCCATTGATTTATTGATGCATGCCTAAAGAAAGTTCAGTTTATTGTTATTGGAGCTTTTTCTTCTTAAATTTTGAAGTTTTGACTAAGGATAATAATTGGTACATACTTCATTTTAATCCACTACATAATACACTTATTTAAAAATTATTATATTTTGATTTAAAATTAAAAAAAAATAAATTTAAAAATACAATCATGCATATAAGATATAACAATTGATTAAATTAATTGTATTTATATTATATTTTTAATAATTAAACTAAACAAGTATTAAAAAGTATGTTAAACTGAATGTATATTAATAATTTTTCTTTAATTAATCTTTGCAGCCATGCAAAAGTAAAAGTTTGAATTTAATTTACAGGATACAGCTCCTGTGTCTGCAAAAATGAAAGAGAAAAGACTGAAGTATCATTTTTTCCATGTTTGTTTGTAGGCTTCTCTGCTCTTTCCATAGCCTTTTCTTCTTTCCCATATATTCTTTTTAGCAATTATCAAGCTGCTAGTCTTTGAATCAGTAGCAAGGAGAATCTTGCATGCTCTCTGTAAGTTTTAATTATACGGAGTAATGATATTTAACTTGAAACACATAATTAGTTTGAGTTAGAAGTTTGAACCTGGGCTTTGGACCTTGGTTCAAATCCTCCCTTCTTCAATGAATTTGATACCATAGAACTCTCTCCTAGGATCTAGAAGAGTTTTTCCATTTCTCATTCTAATTTTTCTATTCACATTTTAACGATATAAATAATTTAATAGTAATAATTTTTAGTAGAAATATGAGATTCTAACTTCTAAGTATGAATCATATTACATGCAATTTAAGTTAATTAAAAAAAAATTACTTTCTATTATGTAACCTATATAAAAAAATTAAAGAATGAAATTCTATTTTACATAAGATATTTCTTTCCGTAAGAGTTAAATTCCCCTCCTCCCTAATTATAAGGGCCAATCTCTCCATTTAGATTTAAACATTATTATTTTTTTATAGTTAATATTTTCTATAATTTTCATTTTTCATTAACATCATTTATAATTTAAGATCCATAAAAAACTTAAAAGCTACCAACCAAACTCCTTATTTTTTTACTTTATAGGTAATTTGAGGTCGTTTAAAAAATTTTAAATTATAAAAAATATTGACCAAAATTAAAAGTTTTTGAAGATATTAATTAATTAATAATAATAATATCTAAGTACAAATAACGGATTTGGGGAAGTTTTAGAAAATTCTCATCCCTATGTGTTAAAATATATTGTTTTATGTTTTTTTAAATAAACTTAAACCATTGATGGCGGCGGTTTCCTTAATATCGGAAACTACCCTCCAACCAATTATTACAAAAATACTGTAATTTTTCTGAGCAGGTCATTGCTAAGGAGGGGACCGCTTTTAATATAATTTTGTTTTATTTAAATTATTTTATTAGAAAAATTTTATAATTTAAATTGTAAAATATTTAAATGTAAAATACAACTTTTTTATAGGAGATAACCTCTAATATCAAAGGCATTCTTCTCATAAAAGAATTTTTATTTTACAATATAAATTATAATTTTAAACAATTCAAATTGTAAAACAGTGCATATTTGTTTTTTTATAATTCTTTATAAATATTAGAGCTAGAATTGTAACTGTTTGTTTATATTATTTATGAAAAGAATAATGATTTACTTATATATCATATTCATATAAAATTTTAATTTTTTTTAAAATTTTAATAATTAAAACTTATCATAATTTTTTAAATAAAAAAATAATTATTTTTAATAAATAAATTTTAACTCTTCTTAAAATCATATAAATATATTCAAAATTATTAAAGTGTAAAATGGACATCCTGGATTCTGATCATGTTGTCCCTTGGTCAAGTATGTAATACGTATGGTTTTGACCATTTGGTCTAAGAAGGTTTGCCTTAATTTTAAGCCAGAGCTGGTCAATTTTTTTTTTTAAAGAGCAATTTGAATATTATACCATAGCTCAAATGAGCAAAAACGTCATTAGCACATGCTAGGCCATATCATTGAGTACATAAGTCTTAATTGAATCGGGACCTCTTCCATCCAAGCTCATCTTCTATAATATATGCAGCTCTACGCGCCAGTTCATGAGCCAACCGATTCCCTTCCCTTTGAAAATGCCGCAAACTACATGCTTCAAATCTAGTCATTGAACCTTTATGGTCATCCAATAAGCATACTAAATAACAATAAATTTTTTTTAAGTATATAATTAAATTTAAATTTTTTGAATTAAAAATTAAATCAACAATAGTTAAATACAGAGAGTAACTAGTTATTAAGATTAATATTCATTAAAGATTGCAATTGACTTATTTTTAACATTCACAATTGTGTGTTGCTATAATTGCCTTACGCCTAACGGTCCAAACTCTTCAAACTATATTCAGCAGTCCGCAGCACAATAGCATAACTGTTAGTGGAAAATCTCGCACTGATGGTGGATATGGAATCATGCCATTCTTACAAGTGATACGATTAATATCTTAAGCAACATTACATGTGACTGTTCTGACGGAAACAACACTATTCGCCGTGTCCCCAATATGTATGGCCTCATTACCCTTTATATAATATGTGCATTTACATATATTTATAGATTATATACCACTCCAGTGTCTATTCTGCGCTCATACAGCCTAACTTCTACCCATAAAGAACATGTCGTACACATTATTGCTTATTCTGAAGTTGGTGATGGTAAACAGATTGAATGTCCTTCCTCTACTAAATGGTATATCATTGTCGTATTTCCTTATCAAACTACATTACAATGATTCCACAATTTAAACCTCGACTATGCTTTAACATGGCATATGTTCTATAGACTCGAACAATCTAAAATCCAAATTAATTTAGGCACTTATAAATGTTCTCAAGGCCAATTGCGAAATGATTTCCAGAATTCTCCTCTTTCTAATCTCTGTTCTGCAAATAACTAGAGCTCAAATTGATTGGATTGAGATCAATTGCAGATGAAGAAGAAGAGGCAAGTGGCAGAGATTCTATTTACGTACTTTTTGTTTGGTTTTCTTGAGTACCTTCTTCCTCAAGAGTTTGATAGAATTTCCTCAATAATTCTATAGATGCACTAGGATTGAGACTCAACTCATCAACATTAGTCTTCCCTTCAAGCATGCTCACTATAGAAGACATAATAGGCCTAGCAGCTGGAGCAGGGTTAGTGCATAGCAGCGCCACATTTATCATTTTAATTGCTTCATTTTTGTTGTAGTTAGATCCTAGTCTTGGGTCAACTAATTCTAATAAGTTGCCTTTCTCCTCCAAAAGAAGAGCCTACAAACAAGAAAAATATTGCTTTCTTGAGGTTCCAAACTCAAAAAATGAATATTGTAGTGGAAGAAAGAATGAGAATTTTGGTACCCAATCAAGAAGATAAAAGCTATTTTCTTTTGTTTTGCTAATTGTGTTGCTTCTTCCATTGACGATTTCCAAGGCTACAATTCCAAAACTATAAACATCTGCTTTGTCAATTAAGTAACCCCACATTGCATATTTAGGAGCCATATAACCCCTACAAATTCAAGGATACATAGAATCTATTTTCTATATCAGGTAGTCAAATCATTAAATTATCATATAAAATGTAAAACAGCTATCATCAATTATATTTAGGCACTAGAAGTAATGATACTTACATAGTTCCGGCAATGCGAGTACTAATATGGGTATTATCCTCTTCATTAAGTTTGGCCAGTCCAAAGTTAGATATTTTAAGATTTAGATCCTTATCAAGCAATACATTGGTAGCTTTGATATCTCGATGCACGATCTTTAACCTTTATTCTCCATGAAGATAAGCTAAACCTCTTGCTATACCAATGCAGATCTTCTGTCTAGTTGGCCAATCTAATTTCAATTGGCACTCTTTCGGACCTAAGAAATTCAAAATAAAAGGTTAATTGCCACTTTGTAAGTTCATTCGTGGATCCCCTTTTTTTAAAACTACAAGTGCATTTAGAAATGTACCAAACAATGCGCGAGCAAGGCTGTTGTTCTCCATGTACTCGTATATTAACAAGAGTTTATTTCCTTCAATACAACATCCATATAGCTTTACTAGATGAGGATGTTGCAGAGCAGAAATCATGCCAATTTCATTCACAAATTCACGATTTCCTTGCTTTGATTTAGCTAATAGCTGCTTAACAGCAATAGCCTTTCCATCTGTCAAATGGCCCTGCATTTGAGAAATACCATGAAATT